CAGGGACCCAGAATGGCAGTCTGTGCGAGTGGGGCTCAAACTCTATGCCCAAACCACTAGACCGCCACTAAATTTAAAAATCAGGTATCGATGCTGATTTATTTAAGTGGCCGCTGACAGTTTTGAAATGAAAGAAAATACTGTCTGCAACTGCAGTGGAGGTGGGTTGTTCATATAAGCTGCCAGGATTTGCAGTATTAAAGATGGATTAGTGGAGTGCAGTCATGGGAAGAAGAGCACACACACCCCTTCAAGCCCTTTGTGTCACAGCATGATAAAAAATGTCAATATTTTAAAACGGACAATACTCAAAGAAACTGCAGATCTCTACAGACCATAGTTATGTAAAAGACTTAGATATATTTTGTTGTCATCTTGTATATACAGAGTGTATACAAAACGAGTGTATAGTACAGCTTTTCAGCCAGTAAATGAACATTTCTATTCCATAAAATGCAGCAAAAGGTCAAGAAAATTAGAAAACTAAATAAAACTGGCTTTTGAAAAAGCTGCTAGAAGATAATTTACAAAGAACATGGCTGGTCTTTAGTTTTACAAAGCGGAATATCAAAGTTTTCTTAGAAATGAGTAACAGATCAGCTCAGACCCGTTCTACATGTAGGGGAGCAACATTCACCGCTAAAGTCACAGCTGTTATGTTTCATCCTTTCTGTTATGTCCACTCATTTCTAGACTCAATGCTTTTGGTCACATCTCCTCATAATAATAACTGAACTTTATTGATCTCACATTGGAGAAATTTACCTCTGCATTTAACCCATCCCCTTGGGGAGCAGTGGGCTGCCGTCGTGCGGCGCCCGGGGGAGCAGAGTGGGGTATATTCACTTTAATAAAAATGATTCAGAGCGCAGAAACATTTAAACCAACACAACATAAACAAGAGGAGAAAACTTTTTTAAATTTAAGGTTCTTTCTCAGAGGGCCAGAGTGGCAGTCTGTGGGAATGGGACTCGAGCTCAGAAACTAAGGATTAGGGGTGTAAATTACACCCATCATGGCGATCCGATTCAGAATCAATTTCCTGACCAAACAATTCAATTATTTTCGATACTCAAGAATACACCACGATACGATTCATTAATTGGTTAATTTTTTTTTTGTTTTACCTTCAAGGCTAGACTATGTTTTAGATTTGAAATAAATAAATTAAAGCTGTAATATTGGTTTTAATTTTATTTGAAAAACAACAGCAAATAACAAAAGTAGCAAAGTTGTAGTCCACCTATGCCTATGAAAACCTCTGAAAAATAATAATGCATCTGTGTTATACGATTCTTAAAGGCCTTGCATCAAAAAATACTTCAATGGGTGCCACCAGTTAAGTAACAAAAACAGGCCTACAGTCATGGCCAAAAGTTTTGAGAATGATTTAAATGTTAATATTTACAAAGTCTACTGCTTCAGTTTTTATAACGGCAATTTGCTTATATTCCAGAATGTTATAAAGAGTGATCAGCGTAACAGCAATTCATTGCAAAGTCAATATTTGCCTAGAAAATGAGCTTTATTCACCAAAACACATTTCAACATCATTGCAGCCCTGCCTTAAAAGGACCAGCTAACATTGTTTCAGTGATTGCTCCATTAACACAAGTGTGGGTGGTGATGACAGGGCTGGAGATCAATCTGTCATGATATAGTAAGAATGACATCACTGGACACTTTAAAAAGAGGCTGGTGCCTGGCATCATTGTTTCTCTTCTGTGAACCATTGTTATCTCTAAAGAAACATATGCAGTCATCATTGCACTGCACAAAAATGGCCGAACAGGAAAGAGAATCACAGCTAGAAAGATTGCACCTCAGTCAACAATATATGGCATCATCAAGAACTTCAGGAAGAGGTTCCATTGTTGCCAAAAAGGCTCCAGGGCGCCCAGGAAAGACAAACAAGCGCCAGTACCATCTCTAAAAAGTGTTTCAGCAGCGGGATCGAGCTACCAGCAGTGCAGAGCTTGCTCAGGAATGGCAGCAGGCAAGTGTGAGTGCATCTGCACGCACTGTGAGGCGGAGACTCTTGGAGCAAGGCCTGGTCTCAAGGAGGGCAGCAAAGAAGTCACTTCTCTCCAGGAAAAACATCAGGGACAGACTGATATTCTGCTAAAGGTACAGGGAGGGGACCCCTGAGGACTGGGGTAAAGTCATTTTCTCAGATCAATCCCCTTTCCGATTGTTTGGGACATCTGGAAAACAGCTTGTTGGGAGAAGACGAAGTGAGCGCTACCACCAGTCTTGTCTCATGCCAACTGTAAAGCATCTTCTAACAATTCATGTGTGAGGTTGCTTCTCAGCCAAGGGAGTCGGCTCTCTCACAGTCTTACCTAGAAACACAGCCATGAATAAAGAATGGTACCAGAATGTCCTCCGAAAGCAACTTCTCCCAACCGTCCAAGAGCAGTTTGGTGATGGACAATGCCTTTTCCAGCATGATGGAGCACCTTGCCATAAAGCAAAGGTGATATCTAACTGGCTCAGGGAACAAAACATAGAGATTTTGGGTCCATGGCCTGGAAACACCCCTGATCTTAATCCCATTGAAAACTTGTGTTCAATCATCAAGAGACGGGTGGACAAATGAAAACCTAGGAATTCTGACAAAATGCAAGCATTGATTATGCAAGAATGGACTGCTATCAGTCAGGATTTGGTCCACAAGTTGATTGAGAGCATGCCAGGGAGAACTGCAGAGGTCCTGAAGAAGAGGGGTCAACACGGCAAATATTGACTTGCTGCATTAACTCATTCTGTCATTAAAAGCTTTTGTTACTCATAATATGATTGCAATTGTATTTCTGTATGTGATGATCTGACATACACACATGAAAACCAGAGGGCAGCAGATCATGTGAAAATATATTTGTGTCATTCTCAATACTTTTGACTATGACTGTATACTAAACCGCAGCACGGTAGTAGACTGGAGGGAAAAACATTGTGAATCGATACTCTTTTTGAAATGTCCATGCATTGGATCGTCAGCTGTTGGATCGATGCATCGATACAAAACCATTATTATTTACACCCTACTAAGGATTCNGAATTCTGACAAAATGCAAGCATTGATTTTGCAAGAATGGACGCTATCAGTCAGGATTTGGTCCAGAAGTTGATTGAGAGCATGCCAGGGAGAATTACAGAGGTCCTGAAGAAGAGGGGTCAACACTGCAAATATTGACTTGCTGCATTAACTCATTCTGTCATTAAAAGCTTTTGTTACTCATAATATGATTGCAATTTTATTTCTGTATGTGATGATCTGACATACACACATGAAAACCAGAGGGCAGCAGATCATGTGAAAATATATTTGTGTCATTCTCAATACTTTTGGCTATGACTGTATACTAAACCGCAGCACGGGAGTCAGAATTATGTCCAGGAGCAAACTGATGAAAATAGACTGGAGGGGAAAACATCGTGAATTGATACTCTTTTTGAAATGTCCATGCATTGGATCGTCAGCTGTTGGATCGATGCATCGATACAAAACCATTATTATTTACACCCTACTAAGGATTCCAAGCTATATGCCCTAAGCACTAAGCCACAACCTTTTGTAATGATTTGATCTGATTCTAAAGAAGTAGAGAGACCGGCTGAAAACCGCTTTTAACAAGCCTGAAAATGTCAACAGCACCACAGACTCTTCCCTCTATGCCAGCTGCATTACTATAACAGGCTTAATATTACAAGACAAGTTCATATATTCTAAATTACAAATTAGTAACTATAGACTAAAACTCGTTTTTTACGTCTTGCCTTGGCTATAGTTCTAATTTTCTGAAAAACTTAATTTCCGTTTTTTTTCAAGGACTGAAAGTTCTTTACAACGAAACACATTGTTGTCCTCGTAAAAGCTAAAATATCGCGAGAGCACATGACGTTACCCATAGTTAGTGCACGCGCCGGTGTTTCGACTGGAACCTGGAAACAGCCTCCGCCGTCCTTCCTTTCATTCTTGTAATCCGTCTGCGTAGGGTGTGCTCCGGAGCTAGCCTCGGCACACATTTTATTATTATGAAACAAACCAAAAGCTAGTGACCACCCGCAGACATATTTTTATAAGAAAACCTTAAATCGGTGAAGCAGGATTCGATTTGCCAACGAAGCAACGCGAAGAAGACGCTACCTTCGGAAAAAAAGGAACGAAAGACGGAACGGTGTTAGCAGGCTAGGCTAATAGCGTCATTGTTGAGAGCGCTGATAATTAACGTTAGCCTTATTGCTTTTCTCATTTAAACAAGTTTAACTTCCTGGCATTGTAATTGTCACGGTTTATGTTTGATTTTGTCGATAGTGTAACACTCTGTTGTTTTGAAGGAGCTGATATTCTTAAATTTGATCATTTAAGGCCACGTCGAGTAGGCCGCGCTCCGACATCTTGCTGTTCGTGCTACATAGCCCACGTTATTAGCAGTTAGCCTTATCGTGGCTCTGGTCTTTAGAGTTTGCCAAATTAAGAGAACGGAACGCTCTTTAAAATCACCTGAAAGCCACCTTTCTGCATTGAAATTAAACATTTATCGGATTGATTGAAAACAAACCGACATGAATCCCAGCGCGCCTAGCTACCCCATGGCCTCCCTCTACGTGGGGGACCTGCATCCAGACGTTACCGAGGCCATGCTTTACGAGAAGTTCAGCCCAGCCGGACCCATCCTCTCCATCAGGGTGTGCAGAGATATGATCACCCGCCGCTCTCTGGGATATGCATACGTTAACTTCCAACAGCCCGCCGATGGTAAGCTAACCTTAAAATAATGTAATGACATAGTTTAATCCGACTGTTTTTCAAATTCATCTCAGCCCAGGGTGACCAGATTTTTTATTATTATTATTTATTGGGTGGTTAGCACGTAAAGCCATAATTCTAGAAAGGCTTGAAATTGAATAAAATTAGTGTGCCTCATCAGGCTAAAGTAGTAGAACAAGTTGACATAGATTTGGAGTCAGTGGGTCACATGACCTGAAAGCTATTGAAGAAAAGGCACAACTTTTGTCTTTAAAAATCGAAAATGGCTTAAAATTGCATAAAAGCATGTGTGCATTACATATGTTATCTATTGGCATGATTATATATTACCCCCACCCCCTCCCAAAAAATGTCGTCCTTATCAGAAACCCAAATCTGGTCACCCTAATTCAGCCTCACATTTTCAGTTACTTGGGCGATTATCACTAAATGTGTACTACTTATACCTTCTTATTTCCATGATTTAATGTTTATAGCTGAACGAGCTTTGGACACGATGAACTTCGATGTAATTAAGGGCAGACCTCTCCGCATCATGTGGTCTCAGCGTGACCCCTCATTGAGGAAGAGCGGGGTGGGAAACATCTTCATCAAAAACCTGGACAAGTCTATTGACAACAAGGCCCTTTACGACACCTTCTCTGCGTTTGGAAACATCCTGTCCTGCAAGGTAAACCGCAACGCGTCCGGTCTGCGTGTGGCTGTGGTTCATGTGGACTCACTGCATGAGTTAAAGAGATCTCAAGAGGGTTGAAAGCTGAATTAAAAATGCTTGACATGCATGGTGTGTTTAGATGTTTCTAACTCCCTTAAATCTGCCCTTTCTAAGGTGGTTTGTGATGAAAATGGCTCAAAGGGTTACGGTTTTGTGCACTTTGAGACCCACGAGGCAGCTGAGCGTGCCATTGAGAAAATGAACGGCATGTTGCTCAATGACAGAAAAGTGTAAGTGGTGGAGATTTACATTTGTTCTACAAATGTTTAAAAGACATTTAACAAAGTATGTTTAGCCTAACTTCAGTGTTATCTGTGTTTGCCTGCTTCCTGTTTTAGATGCATCTGCAACCAGTTTTCATTGAATTGTTCTAGAATGAATGTTTGGGGTTCTGATGGGAATATCTTTTTGAATCTAGATTATTATTGCAACCTGGTTGAAATCACATTAGTGCTGTCCTTCTGTCAGAATAGCATACCCTGTCAGACCAGGATACCCATAGTCAATATGAATGTGCAAGAGGTCAGATTTGCGCATTTCCCTTTAGTTTTGTACGAAAAATGGACTTTAAACCACCTCAATGTGCGTGTATCCCTTCAGTCATCTACAAAAAAAAATTTAAGGTGAGATTGCCATATGCTTAAAAAAACAAACAAAAAAACACCAAAAAGTAAGTAGTTTAAAGACTATTTTTGTACAAAACTAAAGGGATAAACAGAGGGGATAAATTGATATTGACTATTGGTGTGCTCATCTGACAGAACAGCGTCTAAATTAATAAAAAAAGGTTATATCTTGATGTGCGACTGAGATGTTGGCTTGAACAGCTGAAGCATACTTTGCTTTTACAGGATCTCTTAGATTAGCTGTACCATTAAGCTGCTATAGCTGTCAGTTTTGAATACAGCATCACTTTGCTAATATGCTTTTTATGGTTCATTAGGTTTGTCGGCCGCTTCAAGTCACGCAAAGAGAGGGAGGCTGAGCTTGGGGCACGAGCCCGAGAGTTTACCAATGTTTACATCAAAAACTTTGGGGAAGACATGGATGACGAGAAGCTGAAGGAGTTATTTAGCAAATATGGTGAGATGTCAAGATTTCAGATGCACATTGTATAAAAGTCACCAACCGACAAGTGCAAAGCGCCTGGATAAACGTGTTGATTAGCCTGCCTGTTTTGAAGGTCCTGCTCTCAGTATCAGGGTGATGACAGACGAGAGCGGCAAATCCAAGGGATTTGGTTTCGTCAGCTTCGAGAGGCACGAAGACGCACAGAAGGTTAATGGAGTTTCCTTTCAAGCATTTTTCTTTATCTCATCTTTTTCTGAACTTATCTGACTTTCTCTACTTTTCTGCTCCGGCTCCGTAGGCTGTAGATGACATGAACGGCAAAGAGCTGAATGGCCGACAGGTGTACGTGGGCCGCGCTCAGAAGAAGGGGGAGCGTCAGAATGAGCTCAAACGTAAATTTGAGCAGATGAAACAAGATCGCATGACCAGATATCAGGTTTGTCTGACTTCCTCTGACAGTTAGAGTCCACTCCTCATAAGTTCAGTTAAATCCAGTCAGTATATTATGTCCACCTAACCTCAACATTATTTGCAGAGATAAAGCTTTAAAGTACTGATAATGTGTTAGAAGGTTTATATAACTTTGATCTGGGATGATTCTCGTCTCTCCATGATTGTGAATTAATTGACTGAAAAAGATTCAGGTCTGTTTGAGATGCTGATTGGGTGATTGTCATCCGTCATTTGTGCTGAAATGGTTTCTTTCCTAAAGGGGATCACTATGTCTGTTTTATTTGTAGTTGACTTATTACTGGGTGTGCATCTTCTAAAATGAAACCGTGCACAGCAGCCTTTCAGGAAGCATACAGAGAGATAAGATGAGGTTAATCATTCACAGAATGATGCAGGTGTGCGTGCTTTGACCTGTGCAGCTGAACCCGGCTATGGTCTGAATTGTAAACGATATTCAGAGGTTTAATGGCTTAAAGATTCAGGGTCTATTTTATTAATTATTATAGGGTTTCTGCGGGTCATTAAGTCAAAATTTTTATTTTTTTAGCATTAAAATTCATTAAATGTGATTATTGTTGCATTTAAAATCCTTTATTAAAAAAAAACAACACATTTATAAAAACAATTTAGTCAGATATATCAGATATAACTGGTTAATATGACTGTATGATCTGGTGAACTGTAAAGTGCCTTGAAATGACGTGTGGTGTGAATTGGAGCTATAGAAATAAACTGAATTGAATTCTGCGTCAAGGCGTATGTTTGGAAAAGCTAGAGAATAGGAAAATGATAATTTCAACAAGAGTGGGAAAACATAAACACTTAAATAATAATTCCTCATTCTTAGTAAGGAAAGTCATAATTGTTTTTATTTTACCAGGGTGTCAATCTGTATGTTAAAAACCTGGACGACGGCCTGGATGATGAGCGTCTGCGCAAAGAGTTCTCTCCATTCGGAACCATCACAAGTGCAAAGGTAACAGTGATCCTTTGAATATACGAAGAATACATTTAGTGTAATCAGTTGGTTGTCTGGAAATGTAACGAATCGATCCTCTCCTCCTCCGCAGGTGATGATGGAGGGCGGCCGCAGTAAAGGCTTTGGCTTCGTGTGCTTCTCTTCCCCAGAAGAGGCGACTAAAGCTGTGACGGAGATGAATGGGCGCATTGTGGCCACAAAGCCGCTATATGTTGCTCTTGCTCAGCGAAAGGAAGAGCGTCAGGCCCATTTAACCAACCAGTATATGCAGAGGATGGCCACGGTTCGCGCTGTGCCCAACCCCGTCCTCAACCCCTACCAACCTGCTCCACCTTCAGGCTACTTCATGGCAGCTATTCCACAGGTGACCCTCCAACCAGCTGACTCGCTTTAAACTTCCTGTTGGTGATTTCCTTTGGTTTTTGTGACTAACACACGGTTGGTCTCGTGTTCAGGCTCAGAACCGTGCTGCGTATTACTCTGCCAACCAGTTGGCCCAGCTTCGCCCCGGTCCTCGCTGGGCCACCCAGGGAGTGCGTCCTCAGCGTAAGTGTTCTCCCACAATATTCAAGTTTCTAAAGATCGTAGTGTTTTGGTATTAAATGTGTATCATTCTGGTGTTTTCACCAGACTTCCAAAACATGCCCAACGCCATGCGTGCGTCGGCACCAAGGCCGCAGACCTTCAACACCATTCGTGCTACCACTACCACCAACACCCAGGTCCCACGCATGATGGCCTCCCAGCGCATGCGTAAGTCTTTCCGATTAGCTCATCCTAATAAAGGTGTCCCTATCCGGTAACTGGCTCATCAATTCAGCTTTTTTTATTTTTTTTTAACTAAGCGACTGATTCTGTTCCTCCCCGTAGCGACCCAGGCTCTTGGCCAGCGTCCTGCCGGTGCCTCGGCCACTGCAGCCCCAGTCCGTCCCATGCCAGGGTACAAATACGCTGCTGGTGTGCGCAATCCTCAGCAGCACATGGCCTCCCAGCCTCCAGTCTCCATGCAGCAAGTAAGATCAGCCCTGCCTCGCTTTCCATCCAACATCAGTGCTTTTTAATTTGATATTGTTTGTACAGCAGCTGGAGTTCTGATGTCCTTGTTTCTGCTTTAGCCCGCTGTCCATGTCCAAGGCCAGGAGCCGCTGACAGCCTCCATGCTGGCGGCTGCCCCGCCGCAGGAGCAGAAGCAGATGCTGGGTGAGTTAGCCATCCCTTAACCAATGATGTCACTCATCGTTTGGTTTGATTCTCTTTATAAGACGGCCGGCTTCTTCCTTTCATAGGTGAGCGTCTGTTCCCCCTCATCCAGAATATGCATCCCAGCCTGGCTGGTAAGATCACTGGCATGCTTCTGGAGATCGACAATTCTGAGCTTCTTCACATGCTTGAATCACCCGAGTCCCTGCGCTCCAAGGTTTGACCATTTAGTTTTAACATCTGGATGCTGTCATTTAAAAATCAGTTTCTCCTCATTAGGTAGCCTTTTTTTCATTTGTTTCACTAAATGTTTTGTTTTCAGGTGGATGAGGCTGTTGCTGTGCTGCAGGCCCACCAGGCCAAAGAGGCTGCTCAGAAGTCCACCACACCTGCTGGTGTTCCTAGCGTCTAAGGTATGCACGAGCGATTGATCGAAAGCACGACTTTAAGAGCCGATTCATTCTTAGCATCATCTTAAATCCTTTGCTTCTAATTATTTATATCGTTGTTCTTTTTTCTTGCAGCTCGAGCATTTTGAAACCTGCTTCACCGATGGAAAAAGAGAAAAAAAACTTAAACATCGAAAAACCTAAAACTCAGAAAACATTGCAAAATGATAAATTATTTCTTAAAAAAAAAATACAAAAACGATTGAATCTGCCAGGTCTAGAGATGGTTTAACTAGACCTTGATCATAAAGAAAAAATTAGTTTAAAAAAAATAGCAAAATAGATAAAAATTGAAAATTGTTATAAAATTGAATGCATTCCTCTGTTTTATGTCATTTTACTGTCAGTGCTCAACTTGTCAGCAATATCAGGAAAGTGATTGCTGAGCATTTTGGGGCAATTAGTATTGCAAACTACTGGCTATAATAAAACGTCATTCAAAAATATGTACCTGGTTTGTGTTTATTAAGGTAAGATGTTGGTTTCCAGGGGCTTCAATAGTTCAATGTTTCAGTACTATTCTCCACTAGATGTCACTGTTGGGCCAACAAATTGCACTTTAACCACTCAGGGATTTTAATCAGTATAATAGAAACTTCTGAAGTATTAATCTAGTGAATGGTTGGTGAAACTTCATGGGGGGAAAAATATGGTTTTATATAAATTTACCAGAAAATGTATAATTTACCCGCTCCACAAAATGTGCAGCAACGTGTGATTCAAATAGGCTTTTGTTTAAAGGAGACGTGGAATTGTACAGCAATTTGCACATTTTCCTTGTTTACAAATTATTATGGGCTCAACTGAAGTTTATTTTTTTAGGCATTAGCACAGGATGTGGATCCATTTTTTTTTTTTAAACACTTGCTGTATTTATTTTAGTTTCAATGAATGAAACCAGGTTTTGGTAAACCAATGAAATGAAAACTGTAAGAAGTGATCATAGAAGAACGTTTAGCTTTTTAAACGTTTTCCAAGATTAAAGTTTTTGACCAAACTTTGGCCCAATACATGAGGCTCATGCTGATTTGATCCAAACTTTTCTCAAAACACAGCCTGAGACCAAACAATCACTTTAGGGAGTAAACTCTGGCTGTTAAGGATGTCATGCAATCATTTAAGAGAGGACCAGCCTTTTAGAACTGTGGTCATGTCAGTTTAGGAGAGAAATTTGTTAAAGACCGAACTCTAAATACAGTCAACATTGTTTATCTTTAATACAGTTCCGTAAAAATTCAAAAAATATCCACTGGACTTGGTTTTCAAGATTTGAAGATGTTTCGCCACCTCTCCAGGAAGCTTTCTCAATTCAAATGTCTTTAATACAGTATGCCTCTGGTACTAATGATGCCATGAAATTTTATTATATTTAGTTGTGGTGAATGTGAAATATGATTCATGTAAGAGCAATAATGCATTGAAACTACACAGATTTTGGCTGATAAGCTCTAAATTGTCTAAATCAGTGTAAGGTTGTACCTTGGGAAGAAAAAGGCCTCATTGGTGTTTTTATGATTGATCTATAAGAATGAAAGATTCGACCAAAATGAAACTGTTCCTTAATTTCTTCAGTCAATTAAGGAACGAAGATGGGTAAAATTTGTAATATGTATGATTTGAGTATAATTTTAGAGAGTAATTTTATTTATTTGTATTTTTTAAATTCTATGTAATAAATTTATGAAAAATGGAGTGGAAAAAAATAATTTCTTAATTCATGAAAAAATATGAAAAATGAGATTACACCATCAAAATATTTCTCAATATTTAACTGAATTTGAAACACTAGGTGGTAAACAAATGGAGTGGTTAAAGAAAATGCTTTATTTCCAGCAATGATTTGCTTTAGCAATCAAGGTATAGCCACTCATAGAAAGTGAAGCAAAGATAATTCTTCCAAAAAAAAAAAAAAAACAGAACAATCCACTGGACTTGGTTTCCAAGTTTGAAGACGTTTCTCTTCCCATCCATCCAGGAATCTTTTTTAATTCAAAATGTCAGGAATAGCGTTTAGTTTTAGGTTTTATACAGTAGCCCCTTTACAGTATTTTATCATTCATATTTTAACTCTTCCCTATTATGTTATTCTTATACATTTTTGCTAAGGTCCTCATTTGTGTGACCATTTTCAATAATCTTCCTGCTGCTGTAAATTTGCCCATTGTGGGACAATAAAGAGATTTTCTATTCTATTTTATAAAAGGGGTAGAAAGATATAAGTAAATCTAAACAATGTCTATATAAAAAATATACCTGCAAAATCTCTAATATTCAACAACAAAATATACTTGGTTAAGCATATTGTGCAAAACAGTAAAAAAATTTAAATCCTATCAGATTTAAAGTCCCCACACTGCAGATATGTTAAAATGTCCTTAAATTACAGCCAAACCCATTTACACAGTAAAAGGTAAAAACCTTTAGATAAATCAAACATTACCGCCACATATCTGAATCCATAACCATTAAAACAACTATTTTCATTAATCTCAGACGGAACTGTTCACAGACTTGAATTATATTAAACTGCACTTCCAATATTCACCACTAGTCGGCGCCAAGTGCCTTTTTCCTCTGATCACGGAGCAGCCAGCTTGCTTGGTCTCGCAATGAATCCTGGGAAAACCAAGAGGATTTGAAGAACGGGTCCGAGATTGCAATAATCATTCAAACCGAATTTCCCTTTTGGAATTTTTTTTTATGGATTTTTAAACTGAATTATTCAAAAACAATGTTCAATTTCATACAGTTTTTTTTTTTCTCCAATGTAAAGCAAGGCCTATCTGGGTCTGTGTAGGAAGTCAACCTTCCATCAATAAGGTGTAAGGCTGAAACATTTTTTTAAAATGTCCTTATTGTTCAAAAACGTGTTATTTCACATTAGTGATGAAGCGTCATTCAGCGTTTCAGTACACTGGTAAACGGTATTGATACTGTTACTGAATACTGACACCTGCTGGACATTTAAAATCCCTACAGGCCATCACAGTCAACTGACTGATCTGATGACCTATAATATGATTTAAGCCATTGTTTGCCAGAATGTATTATTTCAAATCTATTTTTTATTTAAAATGTTTGAGATTTTTAGATGTAAATCATGAATGGGAACCTATAACGGGGAAATTTAAGATATGTGAATAAGGATATTTGTGGACTAGGATTTATTTATT